CCTCAGTTTCTTTATCTGTAGAATGATCTGGAAAAGGAAATGACAAACCATTCCAGTCAAGAAAAGCCCAAAAAGGGGTCACGAAGAGTTGAATGGGATGAAAATGACTAAACAACAACAAAAAGGATATGTGTATGTTGCTTATGTTGGTGAGAGAGTATGGTGAACTAAATCTAGAAAGACAGATTGCACCTGGATTATGAAGAGCTTTAAATGCCAAAGAAAGTTTATATTTTATTTTGGATTTTATTCTAAAATAGGAAGGCACTGAAGCATCTCGAGTAAGGGAATACCATAGCAGAATCTCTCCTTTGGGAATATCAATCTGGCCTCAGTGTGGGGAATGGTTTAATGGGAGGGAGAGACTGGAGGCAGGGAGACCAGTCAATTAGTCAGTCATCAAGCATTTATTAAGCACTATTATATTCCTGATACCCTGCTAAACACCGGCGATATGAAGAAAGGCAAAACACAGTCATTGTCCTTAGGGAAGGGGGAGATAACATGTAAATAGTTATATTCTCCATTAGATTGCGAGTTCCTTGAGGGTAGGGACTGTCTTTTGCCTCTTTTTGTATTCTTTGGCCTTAGCACAGTGCCTGGCACACAGTAGGTGCTTAATAAATGTCTATTGACAACTGGCTGACAGGTACATATGAGATAGAGTGTTGTTCAGTTGTTTCAGTTGTGTCTTCGTGACTCCTTTGGGGTTTTTGTTGGCAAAGATACTGGAGTGGTTTGCCATTTCCTTATCCAGCTCATTTTACAGATGAGGAAACTGAGGCAAACAGGGTTAAGTTGACTTGGCCAGGGTCTTGTAGCTTGTAAGTATCTGAGTGTGGATTTGAACTCAGCAAGATGAGTCTTCCTCACTCCAGGCTTGGCAATCTAAGCAATATGGTGCCACCTAGCTGTCCTGTTACATAGAGTAGACAGATTGTAATCTCAGAGGGGAAGGCACTGGGTGGAGGAGGAGGACTGAGAAAGACCTCCTGCAAAAGGTAAGATTCAAATTGAGCCTTGAAGGAAGTCAGGTAAAGTAAGGCAGAGTAAGGAGGCTGAGCAGCTCCGGCACAGCAGATAGCCATTGCAAAGGCATGGAATTGGGAGATGGAGGGTTGTTTTTGAGGAACAGAAAGTAGGCTCATGTAGGTGGATTATGCAGTGGGCTGAGGGGAATAAAATGGAAGAAGCCTGGCAAGATAGAAGGATTTTAAATGCTGTGCACAGGACTTTGTATTTGATCCTGAAGGTAATAGGGAGTCACCTGGAGTTTATTGAGTATGGGAGGAGGGAGCATAGCATGGTTAGACCTTCACTTTAGGAAAATCACTGGCACTCAAATTTGGGAAATATTAGAATGGGGAAGAGAACAGAGGCAGGGAGACCAATTAGAAGGCTATTTCAATGGTGCAGGTGTGAGGGGACAAAGATGGACCTGGAGTGATGACTATGTGGGTGAAGAGACGGGGATATAAGTGGTATGTGTCATTAGAAATGGCAAGATTTGGCACCAAATTAGATATTGCAAATTAGGAGCGAATGCTTTTGAATGAAGCAGAGTATGTTCAAGAGAACTGGTGTGTATGAAAATGTTAAAGCCCTGGAGATTTTGTGCAAGTGAGCCAAAGTGTGTTCTAGAGAGAGCATGTGCTGGGTCGAGAATGGGAAGGAAGTTGTATCATCTTCTCTGTCCTACGTCAATAGGCAATCACAATGTCATGAGACATATGTGAAAACCAGTTTTATTACAAGAGAAATGAACTCGCATGTGGAACCCAGAGGGTTCACAGTCCTTACCAAAGTTTGCATATTTATAACAGTACAATAAAAGGAGGAGAAAATAGGAAGGGGCATGGCATGGGAGGGGAAAGGTACAGTAATGTAACTGGAAGGGGAGGAGCAAGGCAACGGCAAAAGGCCCATTCTTTTCCCTTGGGAACCATGCCTTTAACACCTAGCACCTCCTCCTCAACCCCCACTACTCAGGAATAACAATTTTGACATTGATGAAGACCCTGGTCAGATTCTATATCATAGAGCTTATCTGAATACTTCATTTATGAACCCTGTAATCTCCAGGTGGGAAGAGAAAGAGTCTGGGAGTCAGGAGGAAGAGAAGACCTCCAGCACAGTATGTATGACTGGGAGGGATGAGATCATCACAATAAGTTGTTTTCTTCAAGATAAAAGGGATTTTTAGAAGAGATTTCCTTGAAGCTAATTAACCAATAATACATGTTTTTGAGTCATTTCAGTCACATCTGACTCTTTGTGACCCTTTTGGGTTTTCTTGGCAAAGATACTGGAGTGGTTTGCCATTTTCTTATCCAGCTCACTTTACAGATGAGGAAACTGAGGCAAACAGAGTTAAATGACTTGCCCAGGGTCACACAGCCAAGTATCTGAGGCTGGATTTGAACTCAGGTCCTCCTAACTTCAGGGCCAGCACTCTATCCACTGTGCCATCTGACTGCCCTAATATATGTTTGCTGAACTGAATTTAATGTACCTACTCCCCCTACTGCTAGTGCCTTCCCTCTGAGACTATCTCCCATTTATATTGCATACATCTTGTATGTATATAGTTATTTGCATGTCATCTCTCCCATTAGAATGTGAGCTCCTGGAAGGCAGGGATCCTGTTTTTACCTTCCTTTGTATCCTAGAGTGCGCTTCTTGGCCCCAAGTTGGCTCTCTCCATCCATCAAACCAGTCAGATAATTGTCAGGTCTTTACTTCATTCTGTGCCATGTGGGCTGTTTCTCAATCTCTCTTCCACTTAGCACAGTGCTTCTTGGCTTACAGTAAGCACTTAATAAATGATCATTGGCTGACTTACCTATACAAAGGCATGCCTGGGTTCTAGGGTAGAGACTGTATTAAATTATTTAATGGTAGCCCTGGAAAGTGGGGTCAAACTGCCTGTGATTGACTGAGTTTGTTGAGTTTGGCCACTGATAAATAGACAGGGGATGAGTAGGCTTTCAACATGACTGAGCTTCTTTGTTGCAAATCCTGTTCTAGAAACCACTACAGAAAGCAACTATGGAATGCAAAGGATATAAAACAACAGGGAGCTATTTGAAGGATTGGGTCTGGACCTGGGAATTCACTGATACAGGAACTTCTTGGGTAGAAACCTAGCAATGTAGAGTGGCAGTTTTTCTGCAGTGTACATTCTTAGAGAGTTTCCTGAGAACCAAGAAGCTAAATGATTCTCTGGCTAATGCAGCTAATATGTGTCAGAATTGGGATTGGAGCTTAGGATTTCCAAGGCCAGCCTTCTATTTATTTTGTAACAAGGGAATGAAATCATTGCATTATGCCCCCAAGAATGGGTCAAAATCTAAAATTTAAGATCATTGATTTAGAATTGGAAGGTATCATCGTTTAGTCTAATGCACACCCCCCACCACTCCCACCTCATTTTATAGAGGAGAATCATAGTAGCATAGATTTGGCCCTGGAAGAGACCTTTGAGGTCATCTTGTTCAACCCCCTCATTTTACAGATGAAGAAACTGAGGACCAAATAGGTGAAGTCTCTTGTCCAAGATCATGCAGGTAGTAAGTAGCAGAGCTGGAATTTGAACTCCAGGTTCACTGACTTTAAATCCAAGAGAGCATGACATGGTAGACAGAGTGCTAGACTTGGGGTTAGGAAGACCTGGGTTCAAATCCCACCTCACACACTTACTAGTTTTTGTGATCCTGAACAAGTAACCTAACTTCTCTGGGCCTTAATCTCCCCATCTGTAAAATGAGGAAGATGTACTAAATGATAAGATTCCTTTTAGCTCTAAATCTTTCAGCTCTGAATGCCTGATCCCAGGTTAAATAACTTGTCCAGCATCTTATAGCTAATAAATGTCAAATTCCCCTTCTATGTGTGAAAAATGCCTCTATAGCACTCAGCAATGTAGTTTACTTTCCTTCTGAGTTGAATAGGCTAACATAGCCTTGGAGGGCAATCAGTGGTTTTTATATGGGAAAACTCATTCATAAATTGAAGGACTATGATATAGTAAAGTCTGCTTGTATACCCTTCCAGGGCCAAATGGAAAACAACTGCAAATTATAAAGTTACTTGCTATGCATATGCTCTACATAAAGTTATTTGTAATAGAGAAGAGAGCATCTCACTGCAGGACTCAGATTTTTACAGATCAGTACATCCTACACCTTCAAACTCTTTGATCCTTTTTTTTTTAACTTTTATCTGCCTCAGAGACAACTTCTCACCCAAGTCTCCTTTGTCTCTTATACATAAAAGCTTAGGATGCTCTGGCTGGACAGCCAGAGGGAAGTGAGGATTTGATAATTACCCAGTTAACTTGATCAACATTGACAGCCTGACTGGATGACCCCAGAGTGCATTTCTTGGCCCTGAGTTGGCTGTCTCCATTCATCAAACCAATCAGATAATTGCCAGGTCTCTACTTCACTCTGTGCTGTGTGGGCTGTTTCTTAGTCCCCCTTTCACTTCAAGGGGGAGTGCTGGGTGCAGAAAGTGGGGGAAGAACTAGGCCTAGAAGCATTTGTAAACTTTTATGCTCTATCAGCTTCAGATCATTATGACCCCTTCCTTCACTGGGCCAGTGACTTGTAATGTGGAACAGTCTGGGAATGAACCTTGGAAACATTTGAGCGCTGTGGTCATGGGGCCTTTTGGCTTTTTCTGTTTATTTGTTTCCAAGTTAAATGTGTTCTTCTTTGGAAGCTCTTTCCTTACAAGGGAGACCTTTGCTCTAATCTACAACTCTACCCTTTAGAATTCTTTAGTGGCTTTTCAATCTTCAGGATTTCCTTTGAATGTTGAGTTCTTACTAAAGAGGTGACTTGCAAGATGTCCCACCTAGAAAGAGCTGAGAGTCATGCATTTTGTTGGCAACAGTTTTTTTTTTACTCAAATAATTTGCCATATGACATTTGTTTATTTTGAATTTAAACCACGCTGGACAACATTTAACTTGTTTTTTTCTCTCTCTTTAATTACAGCTTGGTCTGACAATAGCCATTCGCTATAGCCACAGGTAAATGTTTTCTTCTTCTTTTAAGAGGTAGCCGTGCCAATTTATAGTATTTGCATTTGATAACAATATAAATATTTTTTTGGCATTATTGTGTAGCTATTTGACAAAGTGGGTCTGTTAGCAAAGCAATTGCAGGCACTGTTAGTTGGTTTGGTCATATGGTGTGGTGGAAAGAGCATTGGATTTTGGGTAGGAGGACCTGGGTTTGAATCCTTAGTTTTTCTACTACTTATGACTGGTATGACCTTGGGCAAGTCACTTGACCGCTTTGTTTAGAGCTGTAAATAGAGGTAGCATGGTATAGTGGATAGAGAGCAGGCCTTGGAGTCAGGAAGGTCTGGATTCAAATGCTGCCTCCAACACATACTGGCTGTTTGATCCTGGGCAAGTGACTTAACCTCTCAATGTCCCCAGGCAATGTTCTAACACTGTAAGTTGTAGAATAGTTGTACATTTGCATTAATAGAGGGAGTTTTCTTACTGGGAGTTCCCTATACCAATGAAATTATAGGTTCAGACCCCATCCCAATCCCCCAAAAAACCCACAACAAAAAACTTTTTTGCTATCTGTAAAGGTTAATACTTGAAGCTTTCTGCATTTTTCTTGGGCCCTCTACCTACACAGAGCTTCCAAAAAGTGTTAATGTGAAGAAATCATTCCCACCTCTCAGCCCAGTTCTGTCCCCAACGAGTGACTAATGTATGTTCTCAACTTATCCTCCATGTTTATGATGCTTGGTTACCTGAGACTTTTCTCTTCACTGACATCCTTTATCCAGAAAGGGATAGTTCTTTCCTTAAGCCTATTTAGACAATGTTTAAGAAATCTTTTTGTTAGAGGTTGATTGAGGGAGGTAAGAGAAAGGACTCAGAAGATGCTTCTGATCAGAAGGTAGAGAGTTTCGTTTTTGATTTCTGCCTTCTTTGGTGCACCCTGACCTCTGAACGTTGGGTTAGCAGATATGTGTTATAAGATTGAGTGGAAGAGTAGATACAAAAAACCAACTTTATTCTGAGCATACTATTAGAAGTTGGTTTTTTAGGAATTTTAGGTCTTTGAAGAACAACCTTCCTCTTAACTTCCCCCCTCCCCAAGTCCATAGTCTTCCTTAGTGCTTCTCATTTAGTTACCACATGTTATATTGGTACAGAGTGCTGGGATTGGAGCAAGGAAGAACTGAGATCAAACCCAGCATCAGACAATTATTAGCTGTGTAACCTTGAAGTGGTCTCTCTGTCTGTCTCAACTGTTTCCTCAACTATAAAATGGGGATAATAATAGCACCTACCACCCACGGTTGTTGTGAGGATGAAATGAGGTAATATCTTAAGGAATTTAGCACCATTCCTGGCACATAGTAGGAGCTTAATAAATACTTGTCTCTCCTCTCCCTCCCCCATTTTGCTTTGTATTTTTTTTACTACCCCATCCCTATTCCCTTTGCCATCACATCATTCCCCTACATTGAAAAGGTAAAGAAAAACAATGTTCTTGTAACAAATATAGATAGTCAATCAAAACAAATGACCATATTGGTAGTGTCTAGAATTCTGTCTCATTCTGCCTCTTGAGTCCATCACTCAAGAGGTAAGATTCTTCATCAGTCCACTGGAATTTTGGTTTGTCCCTGCATTGATCAGAGTGCCCAACTTCTTTAGAGCTGTTTTTATTATTTGTGAAATATCTTATTTTTTTCCTATTGGATTATAAACTCTTTGAGGGCAGAACTGGAGTCTTATGTTTGTTTCCCTTCAGTTCAATTTAATCCAACAAGCATTTGTTAAATACCTATCACATGCACTGTATGTTGTTAAGTGTTGGGGATGGACAAAGATAAATTTTAAAAAAAAACCTTTTTGCTTTCAGGGAGCTTGCATTTTATTTGGATAATGTAACATTTGCATATGTAAGTAAATATAATGATATTCAAGGAGGGAGGAAGCACTAACTTCTAGGGGGATTACAAAAGACTTCCTGTTAGTGGTGGTACCTGAACTGCTCCTTGAAGGAAGGTAGGGTTTGTTAGAGGAGGAAGTGATAAGGGTATATGCTTTCTAGGTACACGAGAGAGCCTGAGCCAAGGTGTGGAAATGGGAGATAGAATTCCAAGTTTAGGAAATAATTCTCTGTCTATTTTGGCTAAAATACTAGGTGTGAGTCGGGGGGGGGGTAATGTGAAATAGACTGGAGTCAGACCCTTAAGAGTTTTAAATGTCATGGTGAAGAGTTTGTATTTTATCTTTGAGGCAGTAGGATGCCATCAAAGCACATAGCACCTCAAGGTAGCTTCTTGCACTTGGTAGGTACCCTTTGAATGGATTTGAAATTGCAATGGTTCTGAATTCTTATGTCTACATTACCCATGTAATTTCTAACAGAAGGTTCATTCCAAGAGGTGTTATGGAATAAGGCTGGTGTAAGACTCTAGTAAGGACAGGGCTTGGTGATGAGCTTGTTGCAGTGACCAAGTGGAGATATGAGTCAAAGGTAGTATCAAAATTTAGAGCTTGGATAATGGAAGATGGTTAGATCATTAGCAGTGATTAGGGTAAAGGGGAGGAGATAAGCTTTGTGAGGAGGAACGGTCAGTAGGGAGGATAAGCTCAGTTTAAGAAAATCAGGACTGTACTTCACCTTCCACTGGACTCCTAGACTTTTACACAAAGCTACCATGGGAACATAGATAGGGAAAGACTAGGTTACCTCCGAAGCAAGTGGTAACCCTAGTGCAGTGATGTGGGCAAAGGTGTCTTTGAGGATGTTGCCAATTTTCTTCACAAGTATGATGGAACTACAGACATGCTGCCACTCATTCTCAGTGCCTTGCGCATTTAGGGTTCTTAATAAATATTTGTTGAATTCACTTTCCCATCTGAGCTAATGAATCAAGAGTATTCTGCAATTTCCCTCCAATTTCCTTTTAAAAAATTATTTACTTTTACCATTAATTTTTAAAAATTTTGAATTCCAGATACTCTCCCTCCCTCAAGTACCTCCCCCACCCTTCAAGAAAGCAAGCAGTATGACATAAATTATACATGTGAAGTCATCCAAAAGATATTTCTTTATTATCCAGATTGTAAAACCAAAGCAAAACAAAAGCAGTAAAAGCAAGAAACATGAAGACCTAGTAGTGGTATTGCTGGGTCAAAGGGTATGCATTGTTTGATAGCCTGTTGGGCATTGTTCCAAATGTTCTCCAGAACAGTTGGACCAGTTAACAACTCCATCAACAATGCATTAGTGTTCCTATTTTTCCACATCTCCTCCAGCATTTATCATTTTCCTTTTCTGTCATGTTAGTCAATCTGATAAGTGTAATGCAGTACCTCAGAATTATTTCAATTTGCATTTCTTTAATTAGTAGTGATTTAGAGCATTGAAAAATTTGAATAATGATAACTTTGATTTCTTCTGAAAACTGCCTGTTCATTTCCTTTGACCATTTATCAATTGGGAAATCACTCTTATTTTTATAAATTTGGCTCCCTTCCCTATATATTTGAGAAATGAGACTTTTCTTGGAGAAACTTGCTATAAATCCCACCCCACTCCCTAGTTTCCTACTTTCCTTCTAATTTTGGCTTTATTGGATTTGTTTGTGCAAAAACATGTAATTTTATGTAATCAAAATTATCCATTTTACTTCCTATGATCTTTTCTATTTGTTTGGTCATTAATTTTTCACTTATTCGTAGTTCTGACAGGTACATTTTTCTATGATCCCTGAAAATAATTACGATATCGCCCTTTATGTCTAAATAATTTATCCATTTTGACTTTATTTTGGTACGCAGTATGAGATGTTGGTCTTTGCCTAGTTTCTGCCAAATTGATTTTCAGTTTCCTTAGCAATTTTTGTCAAATAGTGAGTTCTTGCCTCCAAAGCTTGGATCTTTGGGTTTATCAAACACTAGATAACTATGGTCATTACTGTATACTTAATCTATCTCACTGATCTTCTACTCTGTTTTTAGCCAGTTTTGATGACAACTGCTTTTTAATAAAGTTTGAAATCTGGAACTACCAGATCACCTTCCTTCACATTTTTTTTTCAATTTCTTGATATTCTTGACCAGATGAATTTTGTTATTATTTTTTCTAGTTCTATAAAATAATTATTTGATAGTTTGATTGGTATGACACTGAATAAGTAAATTAATTTAGGCAGAATTGTCATTTTTGCTATATTGGCTTGGCCTACCCATGAGCAATTAATATTTCTCCAATTGTTTAAATCTGTCTTTATTTGTGTGAAAAGTGTTTTGTAATTGTGTTCATATAGTCCCTGGGTTTGTCTTGGCAGGTAGACTCCCAAGTATTTTATAATATCTACAGTTATTTTAAATGGAAATTCTCTATTTCTTCCTACTGGGTTTTGTTGGTAATAATATAGAAATGCTAATAATTTATGTGAGTTTACTTTATATCCTTTAACTTTGTTGAAGTTGTTGATTGTTTCAACTAGTTTTTTAGTTGATTCTCTAGGGTTCTATAAGTGTACTATCATAGCATCTGCAAAGAGTGATAGTTTTGCTTCCTCATTGCCTGTTTTTATTCCTTCATTTCTTTTTCTTGTCTTGTAACTACATCCAGTATTGAATAATAATGGTGTAATGGACATCCTTCCTTCATCCCTGATCTTATTGGGAAAGCCTGATCTTTTTATGAAAGCCCTATTACAGATAATGCTTGCTCTCCATTTTAGATAGATCTTTGTTGTTTAGTCATTTCCAGTTGTGGAAATGATTCCTTTTTGGGATTTTCTTGGCAAAGACACTTGAATGATTTGTCATGTCTTTCCCTGGCTCATTTTACAGGTGAGGAAACTGAGGCAAATAGGGTTAAGCGACTTGCCCAGGATCGTACAGTTAAGTGTCTGAGGCCAGATTTGAATTCAGGTCTTCTTGACTCCAGGCTGGTGCTCTATCCATTGAACCACCTAGTTGCCCCTCAGTGGATAGATGTTACTTATTATTTTAAGGAAAACTCCATTTAT